AAAAAAAGAACTATATCTTAAAGTAACTTACTAAGTTTTACTAAGAATATTAAAATAAAGTAAGGGTCTTTATAGTAATAATAGATTTAAATCCTATTTTATTAGCTAATAAAGATAATAATAAGGATAAACTTAATAATAATTAAACTAAATTACTACTAATACTTTACTAATTTAAAGATATTTGTTTTATATATAAATTAGATTTATTACTAAGGAAAAAGGATTATTTTATTAACCTTTTACTTAGTATTAAACTACCTTTTAAACTAATTTACCCTTTATTATAAACTAAACTTAAAGTACTTTAAAAGTAAATAAAAGATATAATATTTAAGGGTTAAATTTATAAGTCTAAGAGTCTTATAATAGCGCTTATTCTTTTTATATTAAAAAAGGATAATACCTTATACCTTTATATAAACTACTATAGACTTAATTATATATTAAAGAGAAATTAGTACCTTTTACCCTTTATTTTAAAGATTACTAACTATTATTATAAAGCTAAATATTTTTCGAAATTTAATATTTATAACGCCTACTATTATATATAAATAAAAAAAAGGATAAATAAAAGACTACTTTTTATACTTATTATAGTTACTTTAAATACTTAGTAATACCGTTTAGGCTTACTAATATATTAGCTACCTTTTAAGGGTATATTAATTAAGCCTCGAGACATATGCTGACTGCCAATCCGCTTAAATGGTGGTGTCGTGAGGAGCAGAGAGCCGAGTATCCACGCTTGCATCAGATGGCCCTTGACATACTTAGCGTCCCAGCGATATCGGACGAGCCGGAGCGGGTGTTCTCTTGCACAAGGCGGACACTTTCTTAGGATCGAGCTCGACTTTCCGCGGATAGGACTAAAAAGCTGCAATGCTTCGGTAATTGGGTGAGGAACGATTTAATTCGCAAACTATACGTTGCGGGTGATAACGAGATCATGGATATAGGCGGCGCCAACGGAGACGGAGATGAGCATTCAATGTTATATTAATAATTATTAATAAGCTTAACAATATATATCAATATAGCCACACTCCTAACAATACATAACAATATGCCAAAATATGTATTTATTTATTATTGCAATGTCTGCTCTTAAGTCTCCCCGACCCTAGCCGCGAACCCTCTTTCGACCAGCAAGAAAACCCGCTTTATAGGATGCCTACCTCTACTCTGCGTAACCCCCCCTTCACACTTCCACGGTGACCACATCTGCCATGTTCTCACGATGTCGGCCTCCCAGCTCGACATCGATAGCTCGTCCTCCCCGCGGCAACCTCTTAACAGCCAGAAAAATGCTGGCGCCGATATGTCTATGATGGCCTTTGTCTAGCCCGGCTACCCGTCTAGGTTCGCCTACCAGAATGAGCATCGTATTAAAGGGCTCAACGCAGAAACCCTAGCGAGAGTCTTCCTTCCGACGCCCTTATAGCTATCGACTCTAGAGTACGCAGCAATCCGGTTAGATACTGCTAGTCCATCGACCTATATCTTCTTTAGCCTTAATATTTCTATATATAACCAACAGATAATCCCCTCCGAATAGACCGAGCAATGGTTCTTTATGGTCGGCCGTGTTCATCCCTTTGCCCTAACGTAGGAAATCGAGCGACGTGATGGCTTAGAGTCGGACGATGATAACATCATAGAATACACCGTCCCCGCGCTTATAGTCCGCGATCACAGCTACTAACCGTAAGTCTATTCTCTAAACCTCTCTATCGCCACTACCCTCCCTAACGATATCCGCAAAGTCGTCACTCGCACCCTCGGCTCGGTGGATGCTTTCCCAACGATATAACCCATTGTCTCCTTCACGGGACCTATTATCGGCTCCGGCCGCGACCTCCTGCATGGAAACTCGGCTGCGGCCCTTGACGACAGCCAGCTAAGGTGCTGCGGCTTTGTCTAGCTCTCCACCTATATTTGTCCTAGGATTCCCGGCAAAACACCCTTTAAGGGTTTTCACCCCTTTTAAGTTTTCGTTATCTTCCCCATTCACGCTATTCCTTGGACCTCCCTATAAGAAGATAACCGAGAGGCGCGACAGCCAGTTCCAGCCGAACGCTCTCTTTACTTATACGGGCAAAATCGCCGGCTTACTAGATCACTAGATTATAAAACATGCCCCGGCTTTCGGCCAAGACTATATCTTCATCGTCGTCCCCGATACGTGGACTTTCCTCGACAGGGCCATATCCAACCAGGCTTCTGCGACACAACTACTGCCGACGACACCCAAGGGCACGGTCGGCAATCCCTCGGACTATAGCGATGCGTTGGCAAGGTTTACATCTACCAAAAAGCCTAGGCCGCCTAAACCCCCGCCTCCCCTACGCCGCCTATATCTAGCCTAGTCGATCCCCTTATACTGACATCAAGTCGGTCATTGCCCGATCCCTACCAAACCCCAACCAAGAGACCGCGACTTTCTCCCGAAACTTCTACTATAATCACCGCCTGTGACATCAAGACTCCGCTAAGTCCGACACTTCCTCCTTTCTGTCCCCGGAAGACCCCGTAGAGTCAGAGACGGACACCGAACCATTCGATCAACCAGGCACAACCGCCTCTGGCTCTATCAGACCTCCCGCGTCTATCTCTTCCCGACCGCTCCGCGCCCGACGTCCGCCCAAGAATATTCTCTAAAGCAACGAACGAAACAATACAACATAACAAGGAATATGTTTTATCATCCTTAAACTCAAGTACGAAAGGCTCGAATAGGATATTCCCTTCTCCTCTTCTTCCCCTTTTTATAAGGACAATTAAGTTAAAACTTCCCTAATATACTCCTTATTTTATTTATATCTACGACTTATAGCACCTATAAATCTTCCGAGCCTTCTACTCGCCTAGATATGCATTACCTACCCATATCTCTCTTTAACCCTGCCGTCTCTCCACGCCCTCTGCGCCTTCGCAAAATAAAACCTCCCTCTAGCGGCCTAGCCTGCCTCCCCGACGCTCTGTCTCGGTTTCACTCACGATAATGCTCTACTTCTCTCGCCGTATCTCGTATCTCGACCTCACTCTTCTTCCTATCTTCCTCTCACTTCTCTTATCTCCTATCTCCTATCGCCAACTCTCTCTCTCTCCTGTCGCTAAATCTTCTCCTGTCCTCCTATCGCTAACTTTCGTTCCGAAAGGCTTCTTTGCGCGAGCCGCGGCTAGCGAGCCTTCCTCTCGTTCGTTCCTTAAGGCTCTTTGCGCGAGCCCCGACCGGCGAGCCTTCTCCTATTGGCCGACTTTTTGCCAATTTTCGATATAAGATCTTTTATAATTGATCGCCGACTCTTTTCGCCCCCCCCTCCTTATTGGTCGCTGCCGCCTTATCTTCCCGCCTCCCCTTGCCAACACTAATGCTAACATTTTTCGTTTCGTCCGCCGGTTTTCCTACTATTGTTTATGTCTAATCTAAAACTCGCCTCCTTTATCTTAGCCCTTTTCGTTCCTGCCTTTCCTTCCTTCACGTCTAAGAGTTCCCCCTCATTAGTCGCTGCTGCCCCGTGCCCTTTTCTTCTTGCCCGACCCGGCACCGACGCCCTCCTCCGTCTCCCCCTTGTTACGTCGCCCGGTCCCTACGCCCTACGCGTAGGTCAATAAGTAGGCCGAATAGATATAGCAGGCGTCTCTTGCTGTCTATCAGCTAGGTACTTATTTGGCCATAGATAAGTATATAGTCCGCTATATAGGTAGGTCGAGGCAGATACTATCCCCCACCCCTCTTTCGGTAACACCCCTCTTTCGGTAGCGCAAATGGAAAAATCTCCACTAAAACCCATCATTTTTACTTACACCGATTCCAGCCAACTATAAAGATTCTCGTAAGCCGTCACCTACAGTCGATAGAGAATTGACCGAATTCTACTTTTTAGTGGTTGAACGCTTCTACAGGGGTCTATGGCCAGTGCGTACCCTGCACGCGAAATTACCATCCAGCCTCCTACCATCCTACCCCCACCTTTGGCTCACCCCCCCCTTTAGCTTAGGTAAACGACACTAGCCTTACCAAAAATCCTAAACTTAAACTACTTATATTCCAATAAAATATTATAATACTTATATAAAAACTATCTTATTTAAAAGAGAATTAAACAAATTACTCGCTTCTTGGTCTTTTGATCACGCGACCTAGCCGGGTGGTGCGCCGAGGAGGCTCAGGTACCCTAACTTCAATCACCGAAGCCGTCTCCGTCTCCGTATCCGCCTCTTTCTCTGACCGATGGTCAGACAGAGCGGATCAATCAGTCGATCGAACAGTACCTACGGACCTTCTGCAACAAAGAACAGTCAGACTGGATAGACAAGCTATCGTTGGCGGAGTTCACCTATAATACCTCGTACTATAACACCGTAAAAGAGGCTCTAGCGGAAGTCTTGATGGGATACTCTCAGCAAGCTGAGAGCGCGGGCGGAAGGATAAGGGCAGGCACAATTGAGTCCAAACGATGATGCATGTTTTTTATCTATCTGTGCGACATTGAGGGGGTATTTATACGAATAGATACCAATCTGGGACCCGTGGTGGCCCTGAATCAGTGCCAATTCCGTGTATCCCGATTAGGGCAATGTTCCTCTACTGTATCGATACCTGACTCAAGTCCTTGTGTCTGACCTGCCTCTTTCACCGGAGTTTATACGTGTGCGGATTAGACCGTCAGTCTGCTCCTCTGACACACCCCTTTGCCTCGGTCTCACTGGGTGAGTGAGGCAAACAAGCAAAAGAGACAGACGAATCATCCAATCTTATCAAATATCCAGCGAGTGAGGCTACTACCGTTGAGGGAGATGCTCTTCATGATGTCTTCCTTGGTGTTGTGACCAGGAGCATTTTAACAAGTCAATACCAGCAAAATGATGGGTCCATCCCGTGCCTGGGTGATGCTCGGAGAGCATCTATATCTCTCTCTGGGTGGTGATACTGTCGAAACTGTCCTCCGGCGCATCGGCTTCAATTGGTGCCACCGGTCTCCCTTGCATCCCTAGCTGCTTGACAAAAGCTTCGTGCTTTTGCTGGGAAGGGCCTTTGTCATTCCATCAGCGGGATTCTCCGTAGACTTGATCCATGTGATCTGGAGTCTTTCTTCCTGAACCTCCTGTCGAAGCCAGTGACGATGGATATCGATGTGCTTAAGGTTCGTCTTGAGCTTTGCGCTTAGTTCAGTCAGGAGCCTGATGGTCTGCAGGTTATCGCACCATAGCTCATTGGTGCCTTCTACCTTGATGTCAAGCTCTTTAATTAGCCGGGAAAATTGCATTTGCTCCTTCGCCGCGCTTGACAGGGCCAGCAATTCGGCCTCTGTGGACGACGTCGTCACAGTCGCTTGTTTCGTAGCCTTCCAGTCAACGGGTCCGCCTAGAAACAAGAAGACATATCCTGTGAGGATTTTCGAGTCTCCGGGTTGTCTGCAAAGGATGAATCAGAAGCGCAGAGGAACCTGCGTTCAGCTTCTTTGACTGAGAAGCAGATGCAGCGATCTCTCGTGTGATAGAGGTATGCCAGGCATCTCCAGGCCTCTCTCTATGCTTCGGGCCCGGGTTATGGCTGAATTGTGCCAGTTTTCCAACCGGGAACGCACCGTCGGGTCTGGTGTGAATCGCTGGGTGAAGAATTGAGCCAATTAGAGAGATATTGATGAACCTCGTCCCTAGTAGCCGTCTTCTCGTATGGCTTGAGCTCTTCGGTCGTTATCGGGATCTGGGGCACGCCAAGGATCTGATCATCGTCCTCAATGTGGAATTTCTTGGCCATCTTCGAGAGATACGAGGCTTGAGCGAGCCAAAGCTTCTTCTGGGCCCTATCCTGATGACTTCAATCCCTAGGAACCAGCGAAGTTCCCCCATGTGGTTGATGGTATATTCCTTCATAATGGCAGCGTGAAGTTCTTCCCATTCGGCCTTCTTTTCTTTTGGATACATCATCACGATGTCATCCACAAAGAAGAAGATGATGACTCCTTTATAAGTCATCACGCAGGCATCTTCGACGAGTTGTTGAGCGCCCAGCTTCTTGAAGAAGCCCGAGAGCTCCTCAAACCACAGCCTTGGAGCGATTCGAAGCCCGTATAGTCCTTGAGAAGCTTCAAGCATAGCCCAGGCTCAAGGTAGCCTGGTGGCATCTGACAATAGATGGCATGCTTGAGCTTATTATACAGAAACGCTGTTTTCACATCGTACTGTTCTGTTTCAAGGTCTTCAAGACAGCAGAGGGCCATTAACACTCTGAAGGTTCTTGCTCGTAGTGTGGCCGCGTATGTGTCCTCGTTGTCTTCCGGCTGCTGGTCTCCACGGACCACAAGTCGGGCTTTAAAGCGAGTGACGTAGCCCTGCTCATCCAGTTTATATGCATATACCCATCGCAACGGGATTATGAAGTGGCCGGCTTCTTCAACCATCTTTCTGGCCACCTTGGTCCACGTTTCGAGCTTCATCTGGTCCTCAATTTCACGCCCCATCCCCATTATCCATTGGGAGGCGTATTCCGAAGCCATCGCGGCTTTAAAGGAGGTTGGCACAGGAGGCATATCCTCAACGTGAAGCCTGTGCTTCGAGGCATTAGCAATGATGTTATTGATGAAGGCCTTCTTCGGCTTCCTCTGTCTCTTGCCCTCAAGCACATTGGCGGGGTTTATCCTGAGACTTGTCCCTCGCCTTGCGGGGTCGTTTTCAGGTTGTGATTGTGACTCTGGGGTCGGGCTCTCCCACCCCAGAGACAGCTCCTCGAATTCTGACCATTGTGGCTCTTCGAGCGCACCACCCCCCGGATCGACAGGCGGCTCATTCAATCGCTCATTCAATACGTCTAGGATCGGCGTGCCTAATGATACCTGAGGCTCCGGGTCGGTCCGCGTAGGGCTCGAGATAATGCTTGAGTTTTCCACCTCCGGGTCCTGACTCCGTGGTGTGTGACCTCCTGCTGGGTCACGCTAGTGGTGACAGAGCTTGGTGGGAGGGCGAGGTTTCTTCCTCCACCCTACTGTTTGAAGTGCTTGGAGGCGAAATATAGGCACTGTCCGTTGTAGCCCTCATCGAAGTCTTCAAATTCGGTGCTTCTTGTGTCGCCTCGTCTGCAGAGGGTGCCGCAATTGACTCCGAGGTGTACGGCGTCATTCCGTCATCTGTCTCATCATCGGAGTAATTGCGCACTCCTGCTTCCTCTATGTCTTCGTCGTCAGGGACGTCTATCGCCACCATTTGACGAAGAACATCGTATGTATAGACCTGGAAGGCTTCCGCGTCTTCTTCCCTCTTCGGATCGTACATTGTTGACTCATCAAATTGTACATTCGCCGAGACCATCAGTTTGGTCTGGCGGATCGAGGGTATCCACACGACATATTGATGGGTCGATCTGTAGCCCACCAGGTAACCGATATGAGCTCTCTGCTCAAGCGGGGACTGCGTCTTATGTGACTTTACATGCTCCAACGCAGTGATTGTCATTGGGTAGGCCACACAGCCGAAGACACGCAGGTGATTTATGCTCGGCTGGACTCGCTTGATGTGGCCGTATAGAGGTTGTGGTCCCTCATATGGGTCCACCATCGTTCGTGTGGGCTTCTCCAGCTATGATCAGATCCTTTAAGTGGCGTACGGTTGAGCAAATACACTGCTGTGCGGTAGGTCTCGGTCCAGAGCTCCTCCGGGATGCGGAGTCCAGGTTCATAAGCCGGGCCCTTTCTTTGACCACGGCCCCGGACCTTTCTGCATGCCCATTCTGCGTGGGCGTGGATGGAGCTGACTGGAAGACCCGAATGCCCAATCCTTCGATGAATTTGACTAGCTCCTTTGTTAGAAGGGCTTTTTCTCCGTCAGAAGCCAGGTTGATCAGTTTTATCCCGTACTGAGTTTCTAGCATTGATGTTAGCTTCTTGAAGGCATCTCGGACCTCGGTTTTGCTCTTCAACGCGTAATAAAACCTCATCCTGGTCGTTATGCATGTGAAGAGCGCAAAGTACTTTTCACCCCCGAATCCGGCCACCGGGCCTGGGTGTAAGTCGAAGCTAAATTGAGCTCCGGCCCTCTGGGTCGTAAAGTGGGCTCCTCACGGAGACCTGCCTCTTTGCCTGTTGCGCAGACCTCGCATTCACACGTGGCCGGTCCCCATCTTGGTTAGGTGGCTAAGGGTTCTGGCCCCGGATGTCTAGCCGTCTGTGCCAAGGTCTGCTTGCCCACCCATTGGTGGCTTAGGAGCCCTGCTTGTGACAAAGACGCTGTGTTGGGGCCGCTTTGAGAGGCTTGCAATAACGTATTGGTCTTCAATTTCTTGCAGACTGACCAGAGTGCGCCCTGTGGGCTCATGGTAGAGTGTGCCGTTAACCTGGTTCCAATAGATCTTCGCAACAATCCCCTGACGAGCTGAGAACACACTTGTTGGCATCTCTGGGATGTAGTAGCTGCTCTCAAGCTTCAAATTGATCCCGTTTTCACTGGGATAACGGCCATGCCTACCCCCTTGACTTGGAGGAGTTTCTCCTGCCCGGACTTCTTCTGACGATCCCCAGGTGAAGGTATCCTCATCGAACCATCGTAGGTCGTTAAAGACATGTACGCTAGCCCCTGAATCATAGATGGCCTTGTCCTCGAGAGTCTTCACTCGTATTAGTGCTATGCACGTGCGACACTGTATTAGCCTGTTTGCTCGAGTTGTTGTTATTCTGCGGGACTGTGATGTCTTTGGCTTTTGGCTTCCACTCCATGGCTTTGGTCTTGTCCAGGGTTCTCCTTAAGGTGCTGGTTGATGGCCTCCTTAAGGTGGTCCCTGGGAATCCATCCTTCGGGGGGGTCTTTCTGGAACATCGCTCTAAAGGTCCAGCAGCTTTCCCACCACTCATCCTTTTTGACCCAGTGTTGCTTACATGCCGGGCACTTGTGTGACCCCTCTGGGCCATTCCTAGTCCTCTGATCAGATGATCTTGGAGCGTTGTTTGCGTTGTTGACCCCTGGGGTCTTCTGAGGTTTCCCTTTCTTCCTGAATCCAACCTCCCTTTTAAAGTCGGCAATCAGGGTGCGCAAAGGGGTTGCTGGGAGTCCTGTTCTCTCCAGGAGTGCGTCCAGCAGCCTAATCGTCATGGGCCAGCTAGGTCCCATTCTTCGGTCCCTTTGAGGAAGTCCTGACGAATCTTTGTGTCATTAATAGTCGAGACCGCTAGGTCTCTTGAATCAGGATGACTTGGTCCAGCTGCTCTGCCCAGGCCTTCCAGTCCCGGGTTCCTTTCTTGTTGATGATTTGATGATACCTTTCATCGATAAGGTTCTTTTCTTCCTCCGCTGAGGGGAGAACCTTCTGTTTGAGTTCTTTGATCTTGTCCCGGGGCGTCAGCTGTATCAGGGTCTCGCCCTGGAGCCCCTCACTGATGGACTTCTTGATCACCTCCTCGATCTGCATCATGGCTTTTTCTCTAGCCTTGAAGCGGTCCAATTGATCCTGGAAGGTCTTCTCTTTGTACCTAAAGAGGTCCTTGGCATCTTGAAGCTTCTCATTGAAGTCTTCCCTTGCTGCCTTATACTTATTTTCTTCGTTGGGAAAGCTTCCTCAGTGGGGCCTCTGCCCTACCTTCTCGAGTAGCTCTTCCCAGCTAGGCCTCAGGGGCTCCTCGAGCACCACGGTCCCTTCTGGGTTAACGTACTCCCAGATGTGGTGCGTTTGAGCCCATGATTTGATACCCCTAATCCATGGGGTCCAGTCAAGGCTTTCCTTGAGTGTGGTGATGTACACCTCCCCCTTCTGATATTGGGGGCCTAGTGTCATCGTGTGTTTTACCTCCTGCGAGGGATGCACGCGTCGTTGACTCTGCGTAGTTGTGGGTGTTGCCCCTGAATTTTGCTCTCTTCCTCGCGTCAACCCCAAGGGTGAAGGATATATGGTGCGTTGAGATTCGTGATAGCCTCACAGTTGGTAGAGGAATGCGAAGGATAAAGAGCACCGCAAACCGGGCTCATAACTCTCAGCAAGCTGAGAGCGCGGGCGGAAGGATAAGGGCAGGCACAATTGAGTCCAAACGATGATGCATGTTTTTATCTATCTGTGCGACATTGAGGGGTATTTATACGAATAGATACCAATCTGGGACCCGTGGTGGCCCTGAATCAGTGCCAATTCCCGTGTATCCCGATTAGGGCAATGTTCCTCTACTGTATCGATACCTGACTCAAGTCCTTGTGTCTGACCTGCCTCTTTCACCGGAGTTTATACGTGTGCGGATTAGACCGTCAGTCTGCTCCCTCTGACAGATACCATCCGCGGTCTAAGGGGCATGTTGAGGGATAAATCGAAACTTTCAGCACCCACGCGATAGACCGAGTTCGAGGTCTCAGATAGCTCCACGACCGTACGGCGCTACTCATCACAAGGGCTCAAGAGCGGCAGGCGCGACACTACAATAAGGGTCGAGAACCAAGATCCTTTAAGGAGGGCGATTGGATCCTCATCTCCACCAAAAACCTTCCGCTGCGGCGCCCAACCAAAAAGCTGACGGAGAAGTATGTCGGGCCCTATCAGATCGAACGGGTCATTGGGGGGCATAAACTAGCCTATCGCCTCCGCCTGCCGTCAACCGTCAGGATTCATAACGTCTTGCCTATTAGTAGCTTGGAGCCTTACCGGAGTCGAGACAAACAGCCGGTTGAGCCTGAGGACCACCCATTTATGGCAGAGACTACCTACGAGGCGGAACAAATTCTCGATCATCGTGGACCGAAAAGTCGTCGACGATACCTTGTGAAATAGAAGGGCCATGGAGAGGAAGAGAACTCTTGGGTGTCTCGGCGTGACTTCGTGGACAAGGTGTTCCTGACTGACTACTAGGGGGGTCTAAAAGTCGACCCCCCGCGCTTGAACATCAAGCACGGGGGGTGCATTGACTAGGAAAAGGGTCACTGACTGGGAAACGGTAGGGTACATTAGCGCCAACCAAATTTACAAGCATAACATAGCCGCGCCTTGTACTTAATTTCCTCGTTTAAGTGCATAACCTTCTTCCCCGCTTCCCTCATAACCTTGATTATCCAATATCGTGATAACGCCTTCGCCTTATTGCGCGAGCGGCGAGTGAGCTACAATGATGCAGTCAACGGCATTCTGTTCCTGTTCCTTTTCCTTTTCCTTTTCCTTTTCTTTTGTGACCTTAAAATCGCCTATAAAATCTTCAATCGCGTTAATCTACGAGATATCGATCCCGTTAGTCTCTAGAGAGAGAGCCACACGGTTTCCGGCGCGAACTTTATGCTCAGTGACCACCAACTGCATGGCAGCTTCAACCGTACCGATGTTTTAATCCTAGGGCCAAGTGAAGCTATTCTGAACCTTGCCGCGGGAGCAGAGAATACGGAAGGCGTGATATCTATGAGCAAGCCACTCCGTATAGTTGAGATGAGCGCGGCGGTCACCTTTGTGCCGCCACCCTTGAGCCTTCTGCTGATCGGGCTCTGTTTTCGTGATGCTGCTTCGAACTGTGCTTCTAACGTCGCGGAGCCAGCGGCGTAGGAAATCTGCTTCCTCGCGTGCCTCTTTCTTCTTAATACGGCGCTCCTTATCTTCCTGAGCTGCCCGCCTATAGTATTCGTCTTTGGCGACACGGATTCTTGCGTTATCGACCGTCAATGGTCTATATTTCCCTATAGTCTGCGTCCCTTCCTTAAGGGCCGAGCGTCGTAGCTGCTTGTCCTTAATAAGTTTCATCTCCGCCGTAGCAGTAATGCCGTTGAGAGCGAGGGTATTCCCAGCCCTGCATGCTTTCTTATGCACGCGTGTGACTGACGGCGTAAGCGGCACCGACGAGATCACGGACGCCTCTTGCCGTAGCTGTACATATTCGTGATAGCGACGGATCGCGGTGAGGTTTAGCCTTGGCGTTGAGGCGTTATTCCAGTCGTACGGGCGCCTCTTCGAGAAAAATCTGGCAATGGTCCTTGAGCTCGCGAGGCAGCTGTCGCGCCTCGATGTACGGACAGGGAGTGGCAGGACTGCTGGCTGTCGCCGACCGTTGCGTCTCCGAGTCGGCGTAAAAGGAAGCCGGCGACGAGCTCCGGGTGGACTTGGTTACCATGGCCAAGCAGAGAGGGGCTAGGGCTGAAGGGGGGCTCTAAGGTCGTGAAACTTTCGACATCGCGATAGCTTTAAAGCATAGTGGATGCAAATGGATATAAGTCTAGTAAGGGGCCACTGCTACCTGTTGCCGTGGGAGCACGTTAGCGGACTCCGGCGGCCAAATTCACGTAACGCGTCTTATCGAGAAAAAAATGCGGGACCCGGAGGAAATTGCGTAGTTAGTTCCCCCGCTCCGCCCAACAGCGCGACCCCGGATAAGCTAGGTGAAACCCGCCGGTATGCGTCGCGCAGCTAGGTGAGCTAGGCATCTCTGTAGCGTGAGAGGAGGGCTGCAGAAACTGTGCCTTAGACGCCCGTGCTCTTATTAGTCTACGGTAAGCGATAAGTGATTTTATCCCTAAGAGCATGTCTAAGACTAAAGGGATAAGTTATTCCTATATTATTACAAACTCGTAACTCGTGTATGCGGACGCGCTAGTTATTATTAAGGACAGCGGGTATAAACTTGCTATTTCCGACCTAAACGAAAAGCCTTATAGAGCAAAAACGAAAGCATCGTCGGGTCAATAGTCTCAATCTCGTACGTCACTAGCTAATCGAGGAAATAGGGAGTATAGTATTATCGCTTTAGATAGTATTAGCTAAATTATAATAAAACTAAAGCCGAGCGAAGCGACAACGAAATAAACGCAATCTACTATGCGCAAACTTAGGCCATAATTGTCGTTAAGCAACCGAATAATATCACCATACCGACCATTAGCATCACTCCTGCCATAGAGGCAGAGGCAGAGCGGCCGGCGTCCCGGCCCTATTGCGGCGGCTACGAGCTACGTTAATCACGACGCGTGGAGTCGTGGCCCGATAAGCCAAACCTCTCCCATTCACTTAATAGGAGTTCGCTCTACTCGAGGCAGCGTCTATAGGGTGTTGGCGCCGTAAAAAGGTCTAGTTACCGGGCCTTTTATGAAATTACGAAAGCCGCTTAGGGCCGCGCCGACCCTTATGCAATTAACCACGAGGGCACTATAGGTGCTATTCCTGCGACCAACGGTCGGATTCTCTTCCACCTATCGGAGGAGATGCAGCCTCTAACTAGAGTGTGGGCGAGCTAGGAGACTCTCCGCATTAAGTCTAGTGCCGAGGATACTAGAATCTATAAAGGCATTAAGTATAAGCGTAGGGCGAACGGGCTATTTCTAGGAAGGTTAGTATTACCGGGTATAATTATTAATATTAACGGCGAGGACTACGTCGAGTATTATATTTTAACTAAGCCGTCCTTTCTCTAAGCAAGGTCTCTAGAATTACTCTTTAAAAGGATAAGTATAAAACGCTAACTATACCCCTATTACCTCTTATCTCTTACTATTCGTACTAAGAAAGTCTTCCCTTTTATTCTACGTCTATAGACGTTAGCTAACGTTAGCTAATACTCCTTAAAGCTAATATAAAATAATACTAGAGGGGGATAGACGTCGATCCTAAATAATAATTACCGTCCGTTTCTAGCTTTATTAACGCTTTAAGTTTTTATAAGTTAGAATAGCTAATTAACAACGAATATAAATCTCGATATATTATTATATCGCCTAGTCCCGGGCAATCGGTAGCGCTAAAGCTATCGCAACTAAAGGCTATAGCAATAATTAGAGCTTAGGCTATAGCAATAGCGCCCGAATCTACGTAGACAATAATATATATATTCTCTATATCTAATATTAACGCCTCGGCCTTAGATAGCGTGCGCCGTGCTATTCGTAAGCACGCCTATATAGCGCTGCACTTTTATCTAGACCGGTCCGTCGGCGACGGGTTAGTAGCTTATAGCCTTTTCGAGGACGGGGTATATAAGAACTAGTTCGAGACGGGCATATTAAACGGGCTAGTGTCGGCAGCATTAGATAGCCCGCGAGATAAGTAGGAGAAGAGTCTTTTTAGCGGCGCCTACTATAACGGCGGCGTCGAGGCGTGTGACCGTCCTAAATACGGGGCCTTAGACCTCGGCTATAGCCCCGACGGGCCGGCGCCGAGATTCGGCTCTTATTTTTTCCTACTAAAGCCCGAGGTATGTCTTCGATCTACGTTTACGTTTAGCGGGTCGCAGTCGAACCCCTAGTCGGTGGCCACGATTAACGAATTCGATAGCGTCTTAGCCTCGATGCTAGAAGAGTTATTTACGCGAGACTCGATGCTCGGCCTTAGCAATATACGGCCGGCGTAGGTGCTAGAATGCCTCGGCTTTCTATCGATACTACGGCGGTGCCGCACCGATAACGTTAGCCGCATTCTAGACTATATAGTCGAGGCATAGGTCTATAGAGATATCTTACTAGGACGCGATATAGAAGCGCTTAAGGCTAACCCGTCCTTTAATAGGGGAGAGAGCGGGTAAGTTCTAAGGGCAATATATACGAGATACGGCATAGTACTTCGGTTTTATAGGGGGTTCTATATAGGCGTCGATAGCGTGCCTAACGACTTCCGCGGCCTAAGTATACTATTACTAGCTGCTAGGGTAGCTAAGAGTATAGTAGACGCCGAGGTAATTAAGTCTATAGCCTAAGCGGTATTTAAAAACTACGAGGCGTAGAGTAATAGGGGGATATATGACGAGGTGCTATAGGAGCTTAAGCTACTATAGTACGTATTAGTTCGGTTTAGGTAGTCTATTATTGCGAGACGGTATTATATAGCCTCGTCGGCGGCTAATAGCTCGATGGCCCTAGCGACGGCCGGCCTTAAGGCTATCGGAGGGCTAAGGCGCCGGATAGGGACGACGGCGTAGTATTCGAGGTAAGTCGGCGGCTATAGAAAAGAAGAGCTTAATTATTACTGCAATTAAAGCCGACGAGTTTATTAGCAACGGGGGGCGGGGGCAGAGGGCATATAAGACTAAGTATAAGGCGAGGGCACGTGATAACGCTAATTACTAGCAGCTAATAAGGGCTGCGCAACAGAACAGGACAGGATAGGATAGGAGAGGATAGGACAGGACAGGACAGGATAGGACAGGATAGGGGGAGCAGCGGCGGCGGCTGTTAGCTGTAAGCATAGACTGCAAAGAGAGCCGGCCGGTCGGCCGGTCCGTCGGTCGGGGGGCGGCGGCGAGGGTTCGGAGCAGCTAGCGGCACTACTATTACTACTTTTAAGAGAGGGAGACAGAGAGTTTGTCGACGTGTAAATTTTTCTGCGCCTGCGCCTCGTCCTATCGCATAAGTATAGGATACCCATTACGGCGTGGCATGGGCGTCGACCTATAATAAGCTCTCCTACCTTATCGCCTATGGCCTATAACTCTTATCCCTCTCTCCCTGCATTTTCCCTCCTATGCCGCCGCCGTTATCTCTTCTCTATGCCGACGACTTCTCTCCGCTCTATGCCGACGACTTCTCTCTACTCTCACTCTATGCCGACGCCGTCTTATCTGCTCTATGCCGACGCCGTCTCCTCTGCTCTATGCCGTCGTCTTCTTTCTGCTCTATGCCCGTCTACCGCCGACGCCGTCTACTTCTTATTCGCGCCGTCTCTGCCGGTTTCGTCTCTGCCCGCGTCGTCTCTGCCCCTGCAGTCTCTCGCCGTCTCTCTCTCTCTCCCTCTCTCTCGCCCTTATCGCCGATAGCTATTTCACTCACGTCGAGCGACGAGCATCTATAGCAATGCCTGTCCGACTTTCTTATTAGATACCGTGGCGACGCGGCTATGCGGAACGATCTCCGACGTTTTCTATAAGGCCAGCACGACTTTTCTGCCCCCCTCGACCGTATGCCTATCGACGAGTACCGCTAGAGGCTCGACTTCGCCCGTGATATTGCAACCACTATTAGGGGTTGCATCCACGACTTTCACCTCAACGCCGCCATGTTTTCTGCTGTTATGGTAGAGCCCCTGCATCGACTGTATGCCCTACTCGACAATTGCCGCTCCTACCTTGAACCTGATGCCGCTGCCTATTAGCTATCGCATCTTATAAGCGATATCTAGCCTCTTCTTCGCGTCTGTGAGTAACCCCCCGCCTTCCTTGTTGCCTATGTTCGGCAACTAACAAGGCTATAGTTTACGCGGGCCTAGAACTATCGCCGCCGTGGCTGCTTAAGATATATGGAGCCTACCCGCCTCGGGGTCGCTAAGGCGATCCCGCTCTCTCGCGTGATAGCTTAAACGACTAGGGTTAAATGATTGTTGAAATTAGAGCGTTTTCGCCAGCAATCCGAATCTTTACTATTAGCGGTCGTGAACTGTTTAGCTATTTATTTAAATGACTCGTAGAAGGCCCGAAAGACCGCTAGCTTAGCGTTATGGGCTTCCGTTTAGTCGCGGGTAAGCTTGCTTACGGATTCGATAATAGAGAGTGGCGGATGGTCGGCAATTATAGTTAAGCCGGATAGATCCGAAATATTGTCGGACTACGCTCCTTCCGCGACGGCAGCGTTGGTGGTTTCGCTAGGAGGCGAGGATGGCGATCGGGCCAGCTATCGAGGCACGGGAGACGAGTCGATTAGGCGAGCCTTAGCCGGTGAGCTATTCCGGAGTTGCGCTATACGAGCTAGTCGGGCCAAGTTTAGCGGCGTATAGACACTAAGGTCGAAGCGAGCCCGGAGCAGGAGCCATGGCCGGTGCTAAAGCCTACGTAAAGCGCGGCGGCGACGTTTTTAAATATAGCTATTAAGCGAATAGGTATACGAATAGGCTACTTACTTAATACTCGCGTGCTAAGAAAGTAAAAATATAAGGAAGGATATGCTCGTGGGATCGGCCTTATTATTATTATTATTATATTTTTCGTCTAGCGACCTTAGGTCGCTTAGGTCCCTAAGACGGGGCATAGGACGTATAGAGCTGCTAGAAGTTTATACTCTCTCTTATCGATATAGGTATAGGATAGACCTATAAAATGCGAAACCGAAATAAGAGCCACCTCGCGTTATCTGCCCCTTCTATAGAGAATAAATAAACCACCATCCTATATTTTATCGGCTTAGAGGCGCTTCTATGTTT